CTATCTATCTATCTATCTATCTATCTATCTATCTATCTATCTATCTAAAGCAAATAATAATAATAATAATAATAAAAATTAAAGGCAGAGACCCTGTTCTGTTTGTTCTTTGTTTACATCATAAGACACTTTTCTGAAAATGGCCTGACTAAATGCATCACCATTGAACCATTAAACATGAAAAAGGTGAACTCATCTGCTTCAGCTCTAAATATGTTTGTGTGAGTAAGTGTTCTGTTTGCTCTAAGGCTATAACTGGACATTCGGTGCAAGAGGAAATCCAAAAACATGTTGGGAACAACGTAAAGAAGGACATTAATAACAGAGGCAGCACACATTAAATAAAGTACGAATGTAGTTTCATTTGGTGCTTATGAGCTCTAGAGTCCCTTTAAAATATCAAACCACTATCTCCCTTAAGCATACAAAGGATTGGGTTGCATCTATTATAAATGATAAGATAGTATTAGTAAGTGGACATTGTTGGCGGTAGGACAGAATTGAAGACAGCCCAGCGTTTGAATAGAGAAAGCTGAATATGTTTGAAGCACACTTGAGATGAAGAACTGTGGTGTATTCACCTGCCATATGCTTTAGTTTTGGAATGATGCATGAGCGAGGGCGCGGGTGTCTGCCCACAGGCATTCTTACATTGAAAGCTATTAAACAGCTTTAATAAGACTCTCCCTCAGTTAGTGATTAATTTCCTGGGCAGAAGTTTGCCTTCAAACAGATGACCCTAAGCGAATGAAATAGATTAAAGAATCAATACTGAAACATAGAAACATGCACTTCGGTTAGTGTCTAGATTTTATTGTCATATTATCTCCGAGGCTGGCCACAGTGCTGCTTCAGCAGAGCTCAGCTTTAAGTCGATCCCTAAGAAACTTGGAGGAAAATGAAAGTCTGTAACGTTTACTTTCAGTGTTGATGACGTGCTAATAATCCTTTAAGCGATTACCCTGTCAGAACGCAACAGATCACTCCACTTCAGTTGACAAGCCTTCTGCTCTTCATCTTTTTTTTTCTTTTTTAAAGAAAGGCAGTTGTTGTTCTTGCTTTTCAATTACAGTGTCACATGATGATTGTCCAGGCCTATTTTTCTAAAGGGAATAAGGTGCATAGACTGGCGTGACTGCACATTTGTCCCCAGCGAGTACCCCATATGGTCTTTCTCTGGGAGTTATATAACCATACCCAAGAGCCAACCAGTTCTCAGACTTGGGACTGTGGCCAAAGCGACAGGCTCAATTGGTGATGAGTCTGGCCAGATCTGAGAAGAGCTGCGTCCTTATGGCATATTTCTCTCTCATTTTATCAAAAGCATTAAAAAAAAAAGAGCTTTGTTTTTGTTTGGCGTCTGGACTTCAAGTATGAAAGCAACAAAGGCAGGAAAGCTCTTTTTAGTATGTTAACCAGGAAGACGGTATTTCTCATTTATGAACCCTATCATTTAATCTGGGATAATGACATCACTGAATTAGAAGACTGTCCATGTTGCTGTCTGATTATATTAGCGTGGTGAAAACAAGCCATAAAGACTGAAACGGAAAGCAAACACAGGGTCTTCTACAACATGGGACCTCAGTATTTTTCTTTATTGTTGTTTCAATATGAAGGTAAATAATTGTTGTGTGTGTACACTGGGAGCTATAAGGGCAAAGGAAAGCAAGTAATAAAAGCAGAGTGTATTATAAAATCTGATTAAAAATAAGAGTGATTAGTGTGGGTTAGTGGAAACAAAGAAAGGGAATGAGTGGGAGAGGGTGATTAAATGAAGCGCCAATCCCAATCCCATTATTAGTGATGGTTTCCCCTCTGCCTGTTTACTTAACACACATACACCAAAAGCTGGTGTGAAAGTGTCAGATATTTTTATGTGTTTACTAGCACACCGTCTGTGGTTCTTTTAAATTATAAGAGCCCCTCAGGCAGAAAACTGTACACACGTCTGTACAGCATCAGAGCGATGTCGAGCGCGTCACGTTGGTAGCCTCTAGTTTCAAATGGCTCATTCGACTCACAGCATGTGAGAGCCCTCTGGCAATGCAGCGCACAATCTGAATATTTGTGTTGGGCTGGCACGTTGTAGCTGGACGATACCATCAGAGAAAACACATCGGTGCCTCTGTCAGTTTTAACAGAGCAATGTGCAAAGTATAGTCCATATATTCAGATGTTTTTTTCTGTTTTTATCAGGAGATTTACTCATTTTTGTCACTCTAATCAAAGAACATGTGCAGTAATCAAATATTAAGATTATATAAAGAATATGTTTGTGGCACTCCAGCAAAATTCACCACACAGAGTAAAAGGGAAAATAAATCAGATTTTATAGCTGAATACAGTTTTGTGTGTTGCCTAACATGATGGCTTCAAGCCTCTGGTTGTTCACACATTACAAATATATATATATATATATATATTGTTTGCATTACACTGCTGGAAAGAAATGAAATCTATTTTGCTTATTTCTCTGCTTCTGTAGGGTAGAACATAATTACTTTAATAGGTCTGGAAGCCTTTACCCATAATTAGGTTCATTCAAAGTCGATTCTTATTCTAAAAATATTGTAGGAGTATGAATTTCTTTATCTGTTCAAATCCACTGAAAGCAAAAAGCAGGAGCATCGTCTCAAAGTGGTCTACAGTGTAGAGTTGATCTGTGTTCACTAGCTTATCAAACATTTACGATATTATAGTTAACAGCTTTACTTTTCCATCCAATGCTTTACACGTTTTTCAATAAAACAAAATAAAACCTAATAAATAAAAACACAAAATAAAAAGTTAAGGAATTGTTTAACATTTAAACAAATTCCCATGGTGTCTTTTTACACTAGCACATAAGATTTGGCTGCATTGATATAGGGGACATCTTACACAGCTAAAATGCTAAATGCTATGTTACTGTTACGCCACAATCCCGGATGAGCCCCCAGTTGTTACATTCTGGTACGACGACAGCCACCGGGATGTAATTAAATGTGGGCGATTCCACTTTCTGGACGCCTCAAGCAGCCATGGAGTCAAGGGTATATGTTAAAACTGTGATTTTATTGACAGTTGTGAACTTCTTGGCTTTTTGAAGTCTTAACAAACTTCTGGGTGAGCCCAGGCCAAAACAACAAACAAAACAAACTACTACCACTATTATTTTCTCTTACCTGAATTAAATTAAAATTAACCAACATTCAGGTCTCTTACCTCACTAAACTATCGAAAAGCAGGAGAAAAGGTCTTAAAGATAAAGTGGCAGCTCACACCTACAAACTCCTCACAAAACAATTTACAATGAAGGGATCTGACGTTAACGAGTGACAGCAGGTCTGAGGTCATCATTTTTCTTGTGCAGCACCTCTCGTCAGGCAGCCAATCCCCGTTCAGCTCCTCGGTGTCTTCCTCCAATCACAGCAGTAGCTATACCTGGACACTAATTTACACACAATTAGCATCTTCACACACACACACACGCACACACACACACAAAAAATACCACAACAGTCATAGCAGCTGTTAGATTATGTTAAAGTATCTAAAATGCAGCTGTGCGTACACATAACATGTACTTTCAACAAATGTGTTTGAAACTAATCCTAAACACCGCATCATTTGTTGTAACATGACTACAGTTGTCTAGATACTTCCTTTAAATAAATTTTAAAAAATTGTTCACAAAAATAATATTTGCCTTTTTCCTTTTTTTAGTTGAGTAAAGCTGAGGTGTAGATTTCTCTTGACAAGTTTTGGACAAATTTCTATGCAGAATTAATCGTAACATAATATAGTGGATAAAGGGTCTGAATGCAGGACTAGGTGGAGGCAGGTTTAGGATCCAAAAAATAAAATGTTCAATAATGAAAAATGGGCACAAATAAGTGCAGAACCAGAGAGAATATAAACACTGGGAGCGGTTTTTGGTAAATGCCAACACGAGTTGATTAAGGATTTGGAGCAGGTGGTGAAAAGAGTAACCATGAAACTAGTACAAGTATTAGCGTTTGTCAACTTCATGCACTGGCAAATCTGAAGGTAAAATGGACTTTGAGATCATTTTGAATTTGACTAAATGAAAACTCAACACGTCTCCTGGCTTTCTTCCTTCCTTAGATAGATAACTTTACTACTGGTAACTGGCATTTATAATGTATGTGGATGTTTCTGTTCAGTGCCCTGAGATAACATCTGTTGGGACTTGGTGCTATATAAATAAACTGAATTGAATGGAATGGATTGTTTTTCTGTATATTTATTTATTGGACATTTGATTCAATTTCTTTTGGTCAACAGCTCAATGTTTAACTTGTTTAAAATGACAAATGATGTGAACCAAGACATTTGAGTTGCTCCTAAAACTCTTTCCTTTCAAACTCAACATACTAAGCAAGCTGTGGCAGAGTAGGTTTATGTGAACCTAGATCCAAAAAAAGTGAATTTCCTTGTACCTTAAACATGTTGCCTCATGCATCTGAACAGCCACTATACGCTTATCTAGGAAAAGACAAGTGAATCCATGTGGGATTGATGTCAAATTTAATGCTGTGGGTTTAAAGCTGGCTGTAGGAGAGAGATGAAACCAAGGGGTTGAAA